GATGTTCCCATTGAATGGTCTGAGGAGGAAATTATTAGGAACATTAAGGTTCCCGCTGGGTGTGGGATTGCAATTAAAGCAAGACGGATGAACCGTAGAGTTTCATCAGACAATGGTACGGAATGGAAGCCTACCCAAACTGTGGTTCTCACTTTCGATGGGCAAATTTTACCAAAGAAAGTTTTTTGTTTTTATTCTGCTCTCCCTGTAGAATTGTATACATACCCTACAATACAGTGTTACAACTGTTGTCGCTTTGGGCACACCCGCACGTTATGCCGCTCCAAACCGCGTTGCTTCAGATGTGGTCAGGATCATCCTGGCGATGGCTGCCTAGTGACGGAAGAAGTTGCACATTGCATAAATTGCAATGGCAATCATTTTGCCAATAGCAGCTCCTGTCCTGAGTTAGGACGCCAGAAAAGTATTAAGGCCTTAATGGCTGAAAAAGCGATTTCCTATGCGGAAGCAAGCCACGTGTTTCCTGCGGTCAAAAAATCTTATGCCGAGGTTTCTAAATCCAAGTCTGTCAACTACATTCAATCAACACCAAACAAAAAATCATCCCCACAAAGACAGTCTTACAAAAAAACAGTTTTTGTCAAACCCAAATCCCATGCTCCTCTTTCTCCCGGCTATGATAAGAAGGCCCATCAGGCCCTTATCCATGATTACTCTTTTTCTCCATCCCAGAATGGTTGCGCTTTCCCTGTGGAATCCGGAACCAACACTCGTAGCTCTAACATTTTAGATGTAATTTCCAGCATGCTCATGGCAGTGTTATCTAACCCTAATCAAAATGTACCTGACCACGTCGCCCATAGATTAGCTACTATCCTAGACTACATATATAAAATTCCACCCACTTACAATTCTTCAGTGGAACGTGAGGAGTACTCTTCCCAGGAAGAGTGACCTGATACATTTAGTTAATAAATTCAAACCATCGATTTGTGGACTTGCTGAGACATGGCTCCGACCAAATATCAATTTCGGGATCCCGTGCTTCAGCATTGTCAGACAGGACAGATCTGATGGTTATGGAGGTTGTGCTTTGTTAGTTAACAACAAAGTACCCTTCACCCAGATTCCTTTACCCTTCGTCGGCGATGACATAAATGTTGTCGCTGTTAAGGCTGAGGATATAAACTTTTTTATGTTTTATATTGCGCACCCTCTTGTTACTCATTTGGCTTTAATTAAAAATTTATTAATGTCAGTAAGTGGTCCATTATTCGTAATGGGTGACTTCAACTGTCATCATTATAGATGGGGTTCGGATTTATGCGACAACATGGGCAGCAAGTTCGTTGAAATGATGGATGAGCTCAACCTATGTAATATTAATGACGGCAGCCCGACCCGTAGATCTGCATTTGGACAAAGAAGCAGTTGTGTGGACTTAACCTTCTGCTCATCTAATATGGCAAGCATGCTGAACTGGTGCTGTTTGAATATGACTTATGGTAGCGATCACTATCCCATCATAATCAAAAATCCTTCCAAATCCACTCCTGATAAATCCCTCCCCCCTCTATTAAAATATCGATTAGAAAAAGCAGATTGGGACCTGTATTCAAAATTATTAGACTTCCGCATTTCTTCTCTCCCACCCATTGATAACCAGAATGCTTTGGAGTGTTTTTCAAAGTTTTCTGAGTTGATAGCTTCCACAGCTGAAGATTGCTTCCCAGTGAAAAGCACACCAAAAGGCAAAATCCCTTCCCCTCCTTGGTGGGATAGTGAATGTACTGCCATGATAAGAGCCAGGAATGAGGCTGAAAAGGCATATAACCACGACATGAGCCTGGAAAATCTCCTTAATTTCAAGCAGATGTTGGCTAGGTCAAGAAAACTGTTTAAAAAGAAGAAGAGACAGGGGTGGCAGAGATTCTGTGGTTCCCTAAGCCCGTCCACGCCGGTGGCAGCAGTGTGGCGGAGAGTGAAGAGCTTCAGAAATTCTTCGAAGCCTCCTTCAATTTCCATTTTGCCTGAAGGTCTGAGCCACAATTTCTTCACCAACATTGCTCCACTATATGTCCCTGGCGAGGATGAATGTTGTCCGGGTCAACATGAGGATTCACGAGACCCACTCGATAAAAATTTCACCATCGATGAGCTCCAAATGGTCCTTAATCATGTAAAGGATTCCGCACCAGGCATTGATGGGTTTCCTTACTCCTTCTTGGTTAAAGCAGGAGCCAAAACCAAGCAGTACTACCTTGACTTAGTCAATTTCTGTTTTACTTTCGGCTATATTCCTCCTATCTGGAAGGTTCAGGTTATCATGCCGCTGTTAAAAGCTGGCAAGGATCCTGGTGATCATTCGTCTTACAGACCTATTGCCCTATCGTCCATACTTATCAAAATCCTTGAACACCTAATAAAGACCCGGTTGGAATGGTCGATGGAAAGCCGGGGGCTGTTCCCGGCGGCTCAGTTCGGCTTCAGGAAAGGTCTGGGTACGGCTGATAGTGTGGGTACCCTCACGTCAGCCATCCGACTGGCCCTTAGCAGGAATGAGTCGTTGGTGGCGGTCTTTCTGGACGTCTCGTCGGCCTATGACTCTGTCCTCCTACCCCTTCTCAGGCAGAAATTGCAGGAGCTGAGAATCCCGAGTAGGATTTGCCAAATTATAGGCTGCATCCTTTCCAACCGTATCCTCCAACTGAGAACTCCTGAGGATGACCCTACACAGAGAACCGCCTGGAGGGGTTTACCTCAGGGGTCAGTCCTTAGTCCCATCCTATACAATATCTATACCCACGACCTCCCTTCTTGTCTAAATTATGATTGCAAAGTCCTCCAGTATGCTGACGATATCGCATTAATGGTCACTAGCTGCTCTATAACAGACGCTACCGCCTCCATGAATGTCTCTTTGACCTCATTATACCAATGGCTTCTTAATCATGGGTTATCTTTAAGCGCCCCAAAAAGCTCAGCTGTCATCTTTTCACGCAGACGGCGCCTTCCGGACACTCTTATAGAGATAGACGGCCAACCTATTCCAGTTGGGAGGAAGGCTAGGTTCCTGGGCGTTATCCTCGATTCTAGGATGTCGGGGGTTGATCATGTGGAAACAGTAGTTAGAAGGTGCGAACGGTCAGTATGTGTACTCAGAGCATTAGCTGGGGTATGGTGGGGTGCACACCCCTACACATTAAAGCTCATATATAATGCGTTGGTCAGAAGTGTGATAGACTATTGCTGCTTCCTTATGGCACCTTGCAATAAGGAAGCACTTAAAAAGCTAGATTCCATTCAGGCCAAATGCCTAAGAATAATTATTGGAGCTATGAAGTCATCCCCCATAAACGCTCTCCAGGTTGAATGTGCAGAACCCCCCTTTGACCTTCGAAGACAATACCTGGCAGACCGTTTCGTTTCTAAAGTCCTTACCCGCTCTTCTCATCCCCTCCTTCCTATCCTTGAGCAAATCCACAGTTCTTATGACTCCTCTCCATGTTGGAATAATAAACCTGTCCCACCTGTGATTGCTAGGTATAGGGAGCTTAAAAACCTCTCTGCACCTATCAGTCAATTCCCTATTCTCCCGGTTTTTTCTTCCGCATACGAGGTCATTCACTTTAGGCCAAAGCTAGTTCTGGGGTTGGGCATTTCAAAGACATCAGTGGACGCTAAAGGTGATTTTGAACGCGCGCTGAGCAATTACTGGAACGGCTGGAATGTGTTTTACACGGACGCATCCAAATTGACCCGAAACGGATGCACAGGAGTGGCAACATATTACCAGAACTCAAGAATTGCTCTGCTCTCCAAGTGTCCCCCTGAAGCCTCTGTCTTCACTGGGGAATGTGTCGGCATTCTGGAGTCCATTAAATTTATTGAATCGCACAATCTCAGAAACTCAGTTATTTTCTCAGACTCTCTAAGTAGCTTACAAGCGCTCGGTCAAGACCAGCTTTATTCCCGGACTCATAGTAGTCTGATAATTCAGATAAATCTTTACTTTTCTCCTGCCAAAACGACGGACTAAATATCGAGATCGCCTGGATCCCTGGCCACTCTGGTATATGCGGTAACGAGTGTGCTGACAGATTGGCCAAAGTTTGCGGCCGTGAATAATGTTGAACGTCACCACTACATTGTGTATGGGTATGACATACGCGCGGATACAAAACTCAAGCTTTTCGACTCGTGGGCTGCAGTGTGGGTGGACTCCTCCAAGCGTAAAGGAGCTTACTTTGCAAGTATCCAGCCCGACATCCGGCGGAAACCTTGGTTTTCCAAGTATAAGAAGCTTCCCAGACAAACTATTTCGTCCTTGTGCAGACTCAGACTCGGCCACATGTACTAGTCCGGTATTCCTTGCAAGATCCGTGTACGTGACAGCTCGCTGTGCGAATGCGGTCTCGATGAGGGAACCCTAGACCACATATTTTCTTTGCCTCTAAATTCCCAATCCTTCGATTTATATGGAAACCTTCCCAAATCCAAATCCCGTTCCAATCAACTTCCACTCCCTCCTAATAATTTTTTCTCCCAATTAATTAAGTGCTTGTCCAAATTTATTAAAGAAAATTGTAATTAAAATAAACGGTGTGTATTCATGTAAATATTGTGTGTTATGATTGTTTCTATTTAATTATTTATCTGGTGTTAGGTAATAATATTATAATTTTAGGTCTATTGACGGTATATGTTTACTAACCCAATTGTTTTTGTCTCTTCCAGTTACTAACAACTACCAGAAAGTTAAAGTTCGACGGTGCATTAACTGCCGTCACCACTCGACACTGGCAGTATAGTCGACAACATCGTATTGGAGACTCAGTTGCCAAAGAAAAAAAAAAAAAAAAAAAAAAAAAAAAAGCAAAATAAATAATGGAAATTAAAATGGAGATGTACATCATCTCCATCATTAATGGTCAAAAATAAAATGTATAAAATTCAAATGTATAAAATGTATAAATGTTAAGTATCAAGTAAAACAGCCTGAACTACCTACAGAGAGTAAACACAAAGCAGAACATTGTTTACTTGCGAGCCGCTGCACGTTTGGATGCCTTGGAAGTGACCGTTCTAGTGGCTGAGGCAGTCACGGGTTGTGCAACAACAACAACCCGCTCCGATGGTCCTGATGACTGCTGCTGTTTACCACCAGGCTGCGATTCGACCTTACCAAGGTCCTCCATAGTCGTAACACGGTGTCGGGATCCCTTTGAGTCCAGGACAAACACAACGCCCTCCTTCGTCCAGCACTGACTCACACCGAACTTATCCCTAGCTGCCATAAAGACTTTATGTCGACTTTTTGTTAAAAATTCGGAGAGAGTGATACCCGAACCTTTCAACTTTGTTTTGGCAAGCCACACTCTATTTCGGAGAGCCACATCTTTAAGTTTGAACAGGATAGGTCGGGGTTTGTGCGAAGAACGTCCCATTCTGCGGCACCGCTTGATGTCAGCTGGTGTGATGTCAATATTGAGGTGGTCTTTGACTACTTTGACCACCACTGGAGCAGTATCCTCAGCATTCGTCTCAGATTCAGGCACCCCATGCATAAGCAGTATTTTATGACGGCTGCGCATTTCAATCCCATCGATAGAAAGTGCCATTACCTTCATTTGCTCCTGAAGTGTGCTCAGTGCTTGGATGATAAACTGGCGAAAAGCAGCAAAGTCTGCCGACAGTCCAGTGGCTGCATCTGGGGTTCTCTTCAACTCCTGCTCGAATTCAGCCATGCGTTGGTAGAACTGGCTGCACAAGTCGGACACAGTGCGTGTGAGGGCTTCCATGATGCAGTGTAAGATGTAGATTTAGAACAAATCAGTGTATGTTGTTGCAAACAAGTGGATAACACTGGGCAGGTAGGTGGCACCAATAATTAAGTTGATAACCACATTAAACTTGTAAAATTCAACACAAAACTTATTTTAATGAATTTAATAAAACAGAGCTATGCAATTAAGTTGTTTAGTTGGTGACAGGGTGTAATGTTTATTTAAACTTCTGTGTTCGTAAACGCACCTATGATAAAAGAGAAAATCTTAGTGTGGGGTAACATTTTATTAAAACAGAAGAAAAGAAAGAATTAGTTGGTCGAGAATAGTCCAATAAGGGTTTTAGATCCTTCTGAAAATTTCAATATTAGTACAGACTTTCAAAATGTGCTCAAGGTATACGTCCTTGTTCATGCATCAACAGCCTATAAGTGGCTACTGCTAAACAAAGACCTCTTCTCACACGGAGCAGGTTTGAGCATTAATCACTACGCGTGCACAATGCGGGTTGGCGATTTCAAACTTATAAATAGAAATTATAATCCCAGGTTTCCTCACGATGTTTTTCCTTCACCGTTTGTCAGTGATGTCTTGATAATCTTAAAAAGTACATAAAACTCGGAAAATGTCACATTGATACTTGCTCTTGGTAGATTTCGAACACTCAAGCATGAGAAGCGGGCATCTTTAAAAAAAATCTCACAAAACTATCAAATGAAGCTTGAAGATGCAATGCAATGCTATAACAGCATGCGATTGATATATAGTATTCAACTACAATTACCAAACGAATACTTAATACATTCGCCTCTACGTAACCATCAGGGGAATAAAAAGATCCAAAAGAAGGACCTCACTTGAAGGGGTACCTTCAAGTGAGGTCCTTCTTTTGGATCTTCATTTAGAAGTTCCCATGAAGAGTTCATTCCAACACTAAAGGTGTATTTCCTCTACACTTTACTTGACCACGGTCCTCAAATAAACAGTGTGTACGCATTTTTTTCTGTTTATTTATTGTTTCTTATTAAGCTTAAACGTGAGAACGACCCCTGAAGTTACTAGCGTAATGATAACAATAGAAAGGGACTGTTTGGATGCCGTTGGGGCTATAAGAACGGCGAGCATGCATTTTTATAATTGAAAATATTATAAATACATACATACATAATATCACGCCTTTTATCCCCGAAGGGGTACGTCTTGTTCTCAAACGGAGAAGGTTTGATCATTAATCACCACGCTTGCTCAATGCGGCATTATAAGCCCAGATTTCCTCACGATGTTTTCCTTTGCCGTTTGTCAGTGATGTCAAAATAATCTTGGAAAGTACACATAACTCGGAAAAAGACACATTGGGACTTGCTATTGGTGTGTTTCAAACCCTCGCCCTCATGCATGAGAAGCGGGCGAACAAAGGTTTAATTAGACAAATATATATCTCTAAGGTATTCAGCCAGTCGTGGGAGACACTCCGGGTGTCAGAGATCGCGATCGCCCGACCAGAACCAGACCTGTGAGTACGGCGTGTCGCGTTCTGCGCGCGCCTCAAAGAGCCATGAGACCACCACAGATAGGGCCCAGTAGGGTTGATGTCCGATACGGAGCCGCGGACGGCCTAACGGGTTGCCGGGGCTCCGGCTCGAAGAGCAGCAGTAGAAACGCGGTGGTTTTTAGTCAATAAGAGTCTGTCACTCCCTCTCGCCTAACCCAAGGCGGGAGGAGTTATTGGATGATTCTACCCCATCAAAAACAAAAACAAAAAAAAGGTATTCAGCAAAAAACGTCCCATTCACTGGTTTCCTGGCCATACATTAACGGTCATTTCGGTGGGAAAATGCCACTGTAATCTTTATTTATAGTTTGGCGCCCAAATTTGCTTTGTTTCAGTATGTCGTTCGCTACCCAATTTTGGTGCAATGCATGGGTTACGTTCATACGTTCAAATGACCAAGTTAACTGTTATTTGGACGCTCTGAGATACGAAGTCTAGCGAAGGATCCTATTAAGATCCCTTCAAGATTACTGGGTGATGCGGACTAATGAGCTCAAATGACGGTCTTTTCGCTGTGACTTTTGGTCTTTCCGGAGTGTGAATTATTCATGAATGGGTTTTATGTGTCGGTTTAGAAGTGAAGAGGTTGCACTTTTTCCGCATTGTATATTTTTATTTTGCACTATTTTACGACAAATAGCTTCTGGCAGCGGCTTAACCCGTTTTCCCAGGTGTAAAAAGTAGCCTACGTGTTACTTTAGACCATATAATCTACCGAGTGTTGTGCCCAGGATATCAGAGTACAATTATATCAAGTGTCATTGTAATCAAACCGGTAGTTTTTGCGTGATGCGTGAACATACTAACAGACAAACAAAACATTTTTTAATCACATTTTTTTTTCGGTGTTTATCTAGTAACACCACCCACTATTTTTTTTATCAATGTATGTACAGAATTTAAAATTTTAAAGTTTTTTTTTATATACCTATGTATTTATTTATTGTGTTTTAGAATTATAACTTTATGTAGGTTTTCGCTCACCGTGTTCAATGTCTAAGCATGAGAATGATTTTTTTTTATTTTTTTCTATGTACCAAGTGCAGAGCGCCTTAAATTTGTGTATGCTAATAAACGAAGTATAAGGCTAGCCTAACACTAACTTTCTATCAAATAAAAAAATAGAATCTTGAGGAACCAATAAATTGTAGCATCATTAAAAAACTTTCTAAAGTACCTTTTAATATGATCGTAAAATTAAGTCCCTAAATTTTTACTAAGGCCTAAACAAATTGTTTTTATCGTTCATCTTTGGAGCCTCTTATAATAATTAATAGAGGAAAAATTAGATCGAAGCGCTTCGAGAACATTTTTTTTACTTTTTGAAAGGATCTTGTTGATATTGAAGAGTTTTCTAGGGAATTAGTTTCTTTTTTAATTTTATCTCAATCCAACTATAAATATATTTCAATGTTAACAATATTCATGCTTACAATTTTATACAGAATTTTAAAATCTTCCATTAAGTTGTGTTATTGTTGAGAGATTTCTAATAAAATGATTGTATGTACATAAAAATGCATTTACTCAGAGAAATGGTTTACCCTGCTTTGTATAGTATTACGTACCTATTTATCTACTAAATGACATAAGTATGGAGTTTTTTCAGGCTCCTATATAGCTGGCTCCTATTGACGTAGCAAGACAAGAACATTCCTTCCAAGACAAGAAGAAATGTCGAAAGAACCCCAAAAATGTACCCCGGACGTACTGACCAAAACAATGTATAATAAGAAAACGGGTAATATATTATGTTCTTTTGACCTTGGGCCTGTGATAAATGGGAATCGCATAGACGGCACATCAGACTATTTGTCCCAAAATAACTTGACCTCTTTCTCCCTACAGCGCCTCTTACAATAGAGGATCTGGGTAAACTGGAATACGATGCTATACAGAGTTATAGGCGTACAATGTCTTCAATTAATTATATTGTAGTAGCTTTGCTTGATTAGATTTCGTCAACGTTAGAAAGAGATGCAAGATGGGCATATTTCATATTTGCCCTCATCAGTTATGTTTGATTAAAACATGTTTAGATTTGATTAGAAGCCTAAACAATACATGTGTGTATAGTACACATTTTGAACGAAATTGTATTGCTGGTTAGATTGTCATTAATTAGCTTGCTAATTTAATTTGGAAAATATTCTGTTGCTTTTCAGTGAAATACATTTTGGTAACATCCCTACACATTTTTTTTTATGGCATAAGTCGGTAAACGAGCAGACGGATTACCTGTTGATAAGCAATCGGCGTCGCCCATAGACACCTGGAACACCAGAGGCGTTACAAGTGCGTTACCGGCCTTATGGGGATTAGGAGTTTGAGGATCGTTGGGGATTCAGGAATTGGGGAGATTGGGGAAGGGGAGGATAATTGGGCCTCCGGTAACCTCACTCACACGATGAAACACAACGCAAGTGTTGCTCCACGTTGGTTTTCTGTGAGGCCGTGGTATCACTCCGGTCGAGCCGGCCCATTCGTGCCGAAGCATGGCTCTCCCACACTTAAACACACACATTCCACGGGTATCGTAGGATACAACTAAGGGCTTACACATTTAAAAGAGATTAAACATGAACGGTTTATGATAAATCTGAACCTTTTAATCTTCAATACCCCTTCAGGCATCCGGGATCGCGAGATGACCTCCGTCCACCGTATAAGCCTGCAAGCGAGCAAGGGTAGCTTGCAGCCCGATCAGAACCAGACCCGAGGTACAGCGCGTTGCGTTCGCAATGTCTTGCGCCTCAAAGAGCCATCCGACCACCACAGATGGAGCCTAATAAGGCTGATACCGATACGGAGCCGCGGAAAACTTAACGAGTTGCTGGGGCTCTGGCTCGTGGTGCAGAAGTAGGAACGGGGTCGTTTTAGTCAGTAAGAGTCTGACACTCCCAACTTACCTCGGCGGGAGAAGTGGATGATTTTTGCCCCTCAAAAAATCTCACCCGATGAGCATGGAAGTTTTGGCAAAATTTCTAGTGAAGAACACTAGAATAGAATAGATTAATTGTACACCATTAACAATATAGTAACTATATACGGAAATAAAGAAATAATAAACATAAATAGAAATAATTAAATGGCATAAACGTGTGCGCGCAGATAGCTACGCGTCATTTATAAACGCTTCCTAGAACTTCATACATCTCGGCCATGAGCGCTGACAGTGCGCGTGCCGTCAACATCAGACTAAAACCAGCCTAAGCCCTATGTTAGATAACTTCCATTTTATTACCAAAATATTCTTTGTACCAATAAATTTTGTTTGATTTATTATTTTATCAATATCATATTGTTTTCTTATTACGTATTCAGGTTCCGTACAAGCCAGTCCATAACCGTATTTTCAGGGATCCGTGCAACATTAAAGGTATAATAACAATAAAATAAGGATTTTGATTTTCACTGTAATGTATTTTTTACATTGTTGAGTTTTTATGTCGTACTTTCAGGA